TAAATATTTTAATAAAGTTCTCATTTTTTACAAATTTTTTGCTTAAAAGAGGTGTTAGATGGAATTCCATGGAGATGTTATTTATTGTATTAAAAGTATATGATGGAAATAATAATTATTTCTCTCTTCTCGATACTTAACTTATATGGGCAGCCTACGATTTCACCTCTTGTTGTGTTTCTCAAGTTCTCGCTTCCCTCCTCCTTAGGTAATGTGTCAAGAATAAATTATTGGGCACAATTTAACGTCACGGTTTAACAATTGCCTCTTATGACTTTCCATTTAACTTTTTGAAAGTATAGCCACAATCACGATTACCCTTTCACCTTTCACTAATAATATTACCTACAAAAATTGCAATGGGTAAAAAAGATAATTAATTTGGTGGGTAGAAAAACTCCCTTTATTTATGGAGGCATCATCCAACTAGCGGGCTAGCAAAGAAGTAGTAGAGGAGTTGGGCTTGTATGCACGAATTTTGGGCCAAATGGTTAGAAAAAAGAGAAAATTTCATAAAGCACTATCTTTTGGTAGTAATTAGCCATCTATATTATATTACGGATTATAGATACCTTTTGTGTGGTTATAAGATGTATTTGATGTATTTAAGCTATTATATTCATGAATACAGTAGCAAAAATAGGCGTGAATCAGGGAAGTCCAGCTAATCAGTTGTTGTATTCGAGTGTATTCGACTGTATTTATGGAGTGAAACATGGGATTACAGCTGGACAGATTATTGTATTCAACTGTATTCACGACGTGAAATAGGGGATTACACTGTTTTAAAACGGAAAGTGAATCAATTAACATAATAGACTCCTAATATAACTCAACAAACTCAATTATAACACACAAATTTTGTATATTCGGTTATAAAAAAGATTCTCAATCGAAAAATACCCCAAAAATATAGCAATCTTCAGAGAAATTATATAATACATCTGAATACATAAATTATATTAATTAAAAAAAACATATGAATACATTCATGGCATATAGCGAGACAGTGAATATAATGAAATACATAAAATACAGCGGGATACATTGAAATACAATAAAAAAAAAGACAGTGAATACAATGAAATACATGGAATACAACGAGATACATTGAATTACAATGAAAAAAAGACAATGAATACAATGAAATACATGAAAATATATTGAAATATATTAACAGAAAATCAATTAAATGCTGAGCAACATACATTGATCTTCCTCAATTTGAATGAGTACTCAAGAAAAAGATGGGATCTTGGACTTGGTATACGGTCTTTACTTTCCCTATCAATTTCTTCGTCGTCTCTTTCTTGTTTGTTTTCCGTTTCACAGTCATCTTTTTTCTCTTCTTCATGTACATCGAATCGTATGCGGCAATTTATACTCCCAAAACCCTTAAATCATAGTAATAGCTGATTAGCGAATTGTATGTGGCAATTTCTCTTCTTCATGCACATCGAATTGTATGCGGAAATTTATACTCCCAAAACATTAGAAATTTTAATGGGATGGGGAAGAGAATGAGATGTATCAAAGTAGAGAGAGAAAGAAAATTATGTAACTGATTAGCGTATTTAGTGGCTTAGGGCTAGGAGGTAACCAAAATTAAATATTTTGCTATAAACCTTAATAGGTATATATAGAATATAATTTTTTTAAATGGTATTTATTTAAAATAAATAAAGTGTTAACCTTTGCTATAGGAGTTAAAAATTCCTAGAAAAAATTATAAAGTATAGCCGCTCTAAAAAATAATAATCAGAAAAATAAATATTAATATATTGATACATAATCAGTATATGTTTTTTTTAATTTATATATTTGGCTATTATAATTATTTTTAATTGATCGGTCAAAGGTGTAACTTTTTTCTCCTCTTCGGGCACGATATATTCTTAAGGCCCCATCCGAGTCTCCTTTCAGACTTGTTTTTTTTCATCGGAAATTTTCCTTCCTATACCATATATGAAACTTTATTATCAAATATGTGCATAGTTCTAATTTACCGCCATGTTCACATTTTTTCTACAATTATTATACCATTCATTAAATACTAATTATTAGTAGCTGAATCTTCCTAATTAGGTGCGCTACAAATCAGGAACAGAATATTCTAATTGATTTAGCGACCTTCAGATCAAATTTGAAACGGAAATCCTTTATCTTCAATTTAAAATCAAATTACATAGACTCTTTTCTGCAAAAACTCTATTCTTCGATATTTTCCCACAAATCAAAAAAAGACAAAATCGTCAACAAATTCGAATCAAACTGTAGAAATCAGTTCTGCAAAAGCTCAGTTCGTCGACTTTTTTCCTCAATCCACTTATCAAAAAAGCGACAAAATATTCAACAAATTCAAGTCAAATTGTAGAAATCAATTCTGCCGATATTCTGATCTTCGTCTTTTTTTCTTAATCCAAAAAATCAAAAAAGCGACAAAATATTGAACAATACCTCAGCAACGACAAATTGTAGATGAAGAGAAAATTTTGTAGTTAATATTTTTTTCCACATAGATTGTAGTTTAATTGTAGTATAAATGTAGTAATTATGTAGATACCCTTACAAATAATACTGCTTTATACATACTTAAACTGATTTGTAGTATATTTGTAGAATTTTTGTAGAAAATTTGTAGATGAAGAGAAAAATTTTGTAGTCAACATTTTTTCAGCATAGATTGTAGTTTAATTGTAGTATAAATGTAGTAACTATGTAGATACCCTTACAAATAATACTGCTTTATACATACTTAAACTGATTTATAGTATATTTGTAGAATTTTTGTAGAAAATTTGTAGACGAAGATAACAATTTTGTAGTCAATATTTTTTCAACATAGATTGTAGTTTAATTGTAGTATAAATGAGTAATTTTGTAGATAATCATGAAAACAATATTGCTTTATACATCCTAAAACTGATGTGTAGTTTATTTGTAGATAAATATAGGAATTTTATAGATATTACCGTAAAATCAGACTTCCATAGAATTTGAAATACTAGGATTAGGGACCTCTTTCTTGATTTTTCTTGATTTTTGGGTGAATGTGGTCATAATACACCCAAATCGAATGAAGGTATATCAGCTTCTATAGCTTTTTTAGGGCTGTGCTTTGAAGGTTTGTTCTTCTTCATTGAGATGAACTTTGAAGATTTCACTTCAATTTTAACTGGTTCTAGAAGAAAAAGCTTGAATTTGTACATTAATGGTGGGGGTTATATTAACAAATATGGTTTTAGCAGAGGGAATAATGATTTTGAAACGTGGGTGTTGGGTGATACGTCGGTGAGGGTGTGGGTTTGGGAGAGAGAAACGTGGGGAGAATGGGGATTTGGGGAATATACGGTAGCTTTAATGTAGGAGTAATACACGGTACAATTAATGAACCGTTAAAACACCATATAGTATAGAATTGATAATTAGGTATAATAAAGGTAATTAAATCAAACCTTCAACATTGATGGTAATATAGTTTCATATATGATATAGAAATGTAAAAATCCCTTTTTCATCCATAGTATTAGTATATTTTATGATAAATTGATTTTTTTGCTTCCTCTTCAACTTCTACTTCTCTGCTTTATTCGGCTATAGATTTTTTATTTTGATGTTTCTATTCTTACATCACTAGTAGTCGTACCCGCGCGATGCGCGGTCAGTATTAAACAATATTAGTAAAATTAAATCATAATCAGGCTTGTTTGTACATATTAGATTGTATTGCTTTAATAAATTTAAATTATCATCTTATTTGTCAATACGATATACCCAATAATAAAATCTCTATTAAACTAAAAAGACTTATATAGTTATTGAAGAACTTTTTTGTTTTATACTTTTCTTTATTATATTGTCCAATGTTTTGTAATTACACATAGTTAATACAAATATTTATTAGCATGTTACTTTGTGTAATATTTTTGTCTGATCGCTTTTTTTCTTTTTTTGTAATATGAGAGAAGACATATATTTTATTAATCTTAAAAAAAATCAATTTAAATTTTATTCTGTTGTTCTCGATAATATTATCTGAATTTTAATGAATAAAGTATCTATTAAATTAAAGGGACTTATATAGTCATCGAATAATTTTTTTGTTATGTATTTTTCTTTATTATATTATCCAATATTTAGTATGATTGCATTGTTAATAGAAGTTTTTATTGGCATATTAGTTTGTTTAATATTTTTGTCTATTACTTTCTTTATACAATATAATTGACTATATATATATATATATATATATATATATATATATATATATATATATATATATATATATATATATATATATATATATATATTATATATTCTATAATGATATATATATTTGTTCTTTGGTTGTCTAATTGTATTATCCATTACTTAATTTTGTTAAATTGACATATGGATTATTAATAAAAAACCAATTTAGCATAATAACTACTCCCATATATATACACACACACCACTACAACTATATTAGGAAGAAATTACTCTCCAATTTAAATTGGTAGTTTTTTATTTTTTGTTTTTTTTTTATTTTTTATTGTAAAATAATTTTAAAACTCCTATTTGAATGAGTAGAATACTTTTTTGTATTTTTATTTTTTATTGATAATTATAAGATATCTATATTTATTAATTCAAGTAGTGTAACCAATTAATTCAAAATTTAAAATTCAATAAAAAGTTAGTTAGAAAAGTAGTATATTTTGTCTTAACAATGCCACTTGGCTTTTTGTTGTTAAGACACTTGTCTTAATGTAGTGGTTTTGCTCCTCATATTCTATATAGATAGATACTTGATCAAAGAGCTCATTACTTAATTATTGTTTACTGGTGGACGAATATATATTTGGGATCTTTATACAAATAGCCGTACGGATTCAATATTTACTTTTTCTAGCTGGTAATTGGTATACATAAATTATAACAGTAATTATATATACATCTGTCGCCTATTATAAGTTTAAATGGTTGGGTCAACTGCTATGGAGAATGTACTCAACATGCCGCAAAACTACGTACATTCATTCCTTACAATTTTCCAACTACTTTTACATTACAGACCCATAGCCGATTCAAGTCATCAAACAATAAAGATAAGCAAAACATAAGGTCAAGGTAACAAAACTCAAAAACCAAAAACTAAAAATTTTAGGCTACGTCACAACTTAAGTTATATATATGCATGGGAGATCAGAAAAAACCAATATTCCTTTTTTATGCCCTTTTTTTTTTCAAGCTCTTAATATTTCAATATTGATGCCATCTCTTTCATCTCAAATAAAATAAAAGAAAAGAGGAAGATCAGAAGAATCAGCAAAGCCAAAAACAAAAAAACAAAATTAATTAATGAAACACTTCAATCATGCTCCTTTTCTACCCAATCTGGTCTTCCTAAAGTGAACTCCAAGCTAGGATTTCTCTGATCCAAACTGCAACCTACATAGCTCACTGGCCTTGAATATTCACATTCCTGCAATATAATATCTTTCACACATTTACTTCACTTAATAATGATCATTTTCACTGCGGCTAAATAAAACCTCAACGTAGTGGCGGAGTTTATTAAAATCAAAACTCCAGCCTATGGGACACATGTGGGAGAAACGGGGAAGTCTCATTTGATAGACTAGATCCAATACGCTAAAGTCTTTGCAAAAATAATTAAGAATCTTGTAAAGATTGCTCCTTGATTTTAATTGTCTCGTTTAATATTGAGTGGTTTCTGAAATTTAGATTAAATAATTACAATTTGGGCTAAAAAAAACTAACATTTGATAGTGCTTCCATGCAAATTAATTAAGTTGACATTATTCCGGAATTATATGAGAAAAAAATACTGCTTTCTAGGGTCATAGATAAATCATGACTATATTAGTCCCTTTGTTTCAATTTAGATGATATATTTTGCTTATCGAGAGTGAATTTGACTAAAATTAAAAGCCAACCTGAATTAGTTCAACTTAGTATTTTAAAATTAAAATTCAGAAATTCAAAAACTATACGAAAAGTACTATAAATTGCAATTTTTCTCATGTTTAATTAAAAAATATTAAATGTTGGTCAAAATGCATATAGTTTGATTATCAATAAGCGAAATGTATCATCTAAATTAAAACGTAAGGAATAATAGATTTGACACTTCTACAGTATAGAATGAGAAAAGAATGAGGGAAGTAGTACCTCTATATGGTGGCCAGATCTTTGTTGAGATGGAAAAGAGGTTGATCTGACGCCATTCGAGTCACTGAAGTTAGCTTGTGACCATCTTTCTCTACTGCTGAAAATTCAAGTACAAAATAAAGTTTTCAGCCTGCGTTCGATAACCTTATTAATGAAGCACGGAAGTAATCTACAGTCAAAGCTCTCTATAACAGCTTCATATATTATGAGATTTTTGCCCAAACTGTTGTTATAGAGCACATACTATATTATAACATAACATGACTATTAACAATGTTATTATAGAAAGGCATGGTTGTACAACGTAGATAGGACCAGTTGTAAATAGGAGACGTCCTCCTATCTTTGGTGTAAGTTATACTACAAACCCAACCACACTAGTTCTTTGGTTGACTAGCTAAATATACCATCTTTAGTAAGGATTGAATTATTATTTCTTTATAAGGTTAGTGACTTGACCTGTGCATAATATATACTAGATGCCTTTACTTATAAGGTTTTAGAGCATACTCCTTAAGAAAGATATTTAATAGCCTTAATTATATTATAAGACTATTTATCTAAAATATCCACTATATATCTCTTAAACGTTTCACTTAATTAACCATAAGCACATCAAGCTGTTTTAGGCTTCTTTCATCTCTCTCTCAGCTTAATTATCCCAGCCTTTAACTTTTGTTATAGATCCACTCTTTAGCCTGTTGAGAAGAATTAGGCTTATTCAGATTCTTTCATATTTATGTGGATTTTCTGGACTATGTATGCTTGCTTTGTAGAAGAATTAGGAATATGTTTAAGGAATTCACCAATAGAATAAAATTAAGGAAAATGACAATTTCCAGAAACAGTTTTTCCAATACGTAGAAGCTGCATATTAACAAGATATGATTGTTTTTTAATACATATATTAAACAAAACACACACAGAAAAGACAACACACGCCTACACGAACACCATGCAAACTTTAAACAAATACAGTATTATTATTTTGAGAAAGGGAGAGCACTAATTAAGTCAAGATACAGGTCTTTTTTTGGACATATCTGTAAAAGTCTCCTCGTGAAGAGAATAACAACAAAGTAAAGTAAAAGGGGTTTGTCTATTAAATTAAATAATTCCAAAATGCAAAGAGAAAGAAAAAGAAAAGATAAAGTGCTAGTTGCAGTAATTAAATACTACTATTATTTCAATACTATCTTTCTTTTTGTGATTCAGGTGAAAAAGAAATATGAACCCAATTAAAGAATAGAGTATATAGTACTATAAGATAATCAAAAAAGAAGAAAAGAAGAGGAAAATGAAGCAGAACATAAAGTAAAAGCTGTCACAAGACTCTTTTATATATTCTTTATTTATAAAATGATGTACGTGGGTTTGCATTTCTAAGATTCAGTCCATGCAAAAGAAAAAGGAAACCTGTTACCCTCTTTATCAAATTCTATTCATCACTCCATCATTACTTCAAAAGCTGTAGGTGTGACATATTTAGCTCATTTTTCAGCTACTTATAAAATATTTACAAGTATTAATTAGTATTTGTGATGAAGAGAGTAACTTATAGGTTACGGTTTCGAGCCGTAAAAGTAGCCACTAATGCTTATATTAAGATATATAGGTTGTCTTACATTACACACCTTGAAATGCGACTTTTTCCCGAATACTATGTGAACGCGAGATACCTTGCATACCGAGCTACACTTTTTTGATGAAGAAGAGTAGAGGAATAAAAGAAAAAAAGGGGCAGCCCAGTGCACTAAGCTCCCGCTAAATGCGGGAACCGGGGAAGGGCCGGACCACAAGGATCTATTGTATGCAGCCTTACCCTGCATTTCTGCAAGAAGCTGTTTCCACGGCTTGAACCCGTGACCTCCTGATCACATGACAACAACAAAATGAATAAAAGAAAGGATATTTAAGTTAGAGTTTAACTACTATCCTCTTACGATGTTTTATCAGTTCACTTTTACTTATTCTATTAAATAAGTATTGCTCTATTTTAATTTCATGATTACAAATTGACTTTTTACGGAACAACCTATAATTATTTTTTAGCTAATGTGATGTGTAAAGATTTATTGACACGATCAATATAGTTTAACCTATAATATGACAGGTTAATCACCATTTTAATTGTCAATTATTGCTTATCATAGAGATTCACACGTAATTACCTACAAGTGATATGGTCATGTAATAAATAATTACTTTTCTAATACTCAAAGGTTTATGTTTATGTGTTGTACCTTGAGGAGTTACTCCAAAGAGTAGGAGTTGTAGTTGAAGGATCATCAAATCCATCAGATGGTCCTCTCTGATCCAAAATCCTGTCTATTTTTAAGAGATCTTCTTCACTTGACCCATCTGATTGCCCTAAAAAAAAATAACATAATCAAACTCTAATACATTAACATCAATATAATGTACTATGGACACTAGTACAGAAGCCAATAATTTTTATTGATTGATTTTTAGTAATTGTTATGGTTTAAATGGTTTCAATAATAAGGGATAATGTTAATCATTAGCAGGAAATTACTACTATATAAAAACAGAAGTCTAGAGAGCAAGATTAATTAATTACCTGAGGAAGCTGCAGGTTTGTCAGTGGTTTTAACAGTGCGATACATCTGCATTGGAAAATCATTTTAGAGCTTGAGATAATTATTTAACAAATACTAAAAGATTTTCATTAACCATTACACTTATATCTCTCTAACATATAGATTCTTAAACATTATGTTGCAAAAGAAAAAGAAAGAAATTTTAGTACCATTCTACAGCAAGTATAAGTTATCTGCACTACACTGAAATATAGTATTAGTAATATTTTAACACCATTAATTTGAAGTAGTTACCTTCAATAACAACAGTTTATAATAAACATAATCTGTTAACATAGGAGATAGAGTAAATGACTTGTTATAACAACTTAAATTACGTTGATAGTGTGAATTTTTTTTACATTATCAGTCTATATTACTTAAATTCTTCAACATATAAACATCAATTTCCCATTACACACAAATCTCACATAGAAGGAAGCCTTGGAGCAACGGTAAAGTTGTCTTCATGTGACCTATAAGTAACGGGTTCGAGCCGTAGAAACAGCCAATAATGCTTGTATTACATTAGGCCGTCTACATCATACCCCTTATGTTACGATCCTTTCCCGAATCCTGCATGAATATAGGATGTCTTGTGCCCTAGGCTGCCATGCCTTTTTACATAAATCTCACATAGAGTATTTTCTTGGCATAATGTTGCAAAAGAAAAAGAAAGAATGAAGAGTGAGAAAGTTGAGTTCCAGAAATGGCTTAAATTTGACTTAAAAGCACTTAAAATAAGCAGATCCAAACGGGCTCCAAGTCAAATGTTTATTAAAAATTGATTCATTAATCACGAGGTTGATGTTTTTGATGAGGTAGAAGAAGTAATATAGCAGCTAGCTGTGTTATTATTATTGAATAATGATGACTTACTTTTGTCTGTTACAGCCCCAGTACCCCCTCCTATCATTCTTACTACAGTAGGATCTCTAATTTCCAAGTGTTTTCTTTTTCTCTCTCTCTCTTTGTTTTCTTTCTTTATCTCTGCTATACTATCAGAAACATCAGACTTCTTTTCTTTAATTCATTCATTCAGTCATTCACTGCATTCATCGGCTATTGTGCCGGAGGAAGAATTCACCCACAGAAAAAGACATAGAAAAGAGAAAAATATTGAAACTGAGTTTTTCTTTTCTTTATTTTTCCCTTGTTTATGTTAAAGTTTTCATTTTGCTTTACCTGTAAATGGCTTTTGACATGAGCTAGAGTGAGATCTTTGACATCCATTAGCTCCAAGACTGATTTTGGTGTAGCCCCTAATAATCAAGAAAATTCAAGATTAGACCTTTGTTATTATCCCAGCTAATAAGACATTATGTACTCAAAAAATCAAATCACCCAAAAAATAACATAAAAAAGAAAAGAAAAAACTCAAACTAATTTACGGAAAATAGCCTCTCTACCTTCCCCGGATAAGGTTAAGGTCTACGTACACACTACTCTCTCCAGACTCCACTTAAGATTCCACTGGGTTTGTTGTTGTTAATGTAAAAAAAAAACTCAAACTAAGGGATGAACAGAAAGTAAGAATTTCAAGGCTTTTAATCTAGGGACACTGATATGAGTTCATCATATAAAAATAAGTGCGAGTTCAATTCTCACCGTAAGTTTCTTTGATATTTTCTGAAAATCTTAGTAGTGCAATATTATGTATTCCAGAAATTTTAAAAAATCCCTAAAAATGAAATCTTAAAGCAAACAAAAAAACTCAACTAGGAGATGAACATGAAGTAAGAGAACTGGGATTTACTTTCATGGCCACCAAGAAGTTCCACGGCATGAACAAACCGAGCATGAAGTGAAGTAGTCCATCTCATTCTTGGCGCTCTCATACTCCTTTTTCCTGGAAATTTTGGTAGAAATCTTGATCTCATAAAACTATGAGAATTTGTTTCATTTGAATGACCTAATCCAACTCCATATTGGCTATGGTGATGGTGAAGTCTATTAGCCATTGGTATCCGATAAGCATTTGATAAATGATCAGAACCTCCATTGAAATTATAAGGTGAAAAAAGAGATCCAAATCTCTTTGGGTCTTTTTCCAAGAAATTAGGGAAAGAATAATTTTGATGATAAATTGGAATACCCTTTATAGGTCTCATCAAAGTACTCTCTGAAGAAACATCTAATAATGAAACCCCATGATTTATATTATTCATTTGGTTATTTGGTTGAAGCAAATAGTTGTTTTGGCTTTGATGAGGTAAAGGGTTTCTTGGAAAACTCCTATTTTCACTATTAAACAAGTTTTTTTCTTCATTAATGGCAGTGGGATGAGCTAAAGAAAGCTCAGTAAGACAATTTGTTGGCTTTGAAGATGGAGAAGATGAACTATTTGGAGGGCTAATGTGGAGAGAAAGATCAGGGATTGGATTTGAAGAAGATGGAGTTTGAACAAAAACCCCTTCTAAGGGCATTTTTGTGGATAAATCTTTGAAATAATAGAGACTTCAAGATTATGGTGACTTTGGCTTTTTCTTGTTTGTTAACTTCAAAAAAAACCTCCAAATTGATGAAAAATAGAGTAAAAGTTGCACACTTGATGAAGTAAAAGAAAAGAAAGAGATGTGAAAAGGAGAAAAGAAAGAAGAACAAACTTCAAGTTTGATTCTTGATGGTAGATTTAGGTTGGAAAAGTGAGAGAAATAAAGAGCTATTTGGAGAATGTAAAAAAGCTAAGTGTAAGTGAAAAAAAGAGGGCAAAGATTTAAGCTCTTTTATTCTTCTTTTAAGTGGACATGTTTGATAAAGAAGGAGAGAAAAAAAAGGAGAAGAACAACAAGAAAGAAGAAGGATAATGGTGTTTGTGAAAACAATGGAAAGAAAACCAAAAATCAGTTTGGTAAATCAAAGAAAGGAATCAAGTGGAAAGGCTTTATGGAATGAGAAAAGTAGAAAGGGATATGAGACTGAGTGTTACTAGAGACCACTGTTTATTGAGAAAATGACACTTGAATACAAGGTGATGAGGTTCCTTTCTCTTTCTACTCTCTATAGTCAAAACTCTGCAAATATATATATATATCCTTAATCAGAACTCACGGATTCCAACCCTGAATATAGAGTTTCCTTTGTTAGGAATCACTTTACTCTAAATGTAAAACTTTTCGGTGCAAATCTGGATTTAAATAGGCCTCAATGCGGATACAGGATACCGCGTGAGAGAATTAGGGCAGCCCGATGCACTAAGATCGCGCTATGCGTGGGGTCCGGAAAAGGGTCGAACCACAAGGGTCTACGCAGTCTTACCCTACATTTCTGCAAGAGGATATTTTCACGTCTCGAACTCGTGACCTTCCGGTCAAATAAGTCAAGATTCTCCTTCTAGAGACGGTAATAATAAAGCAACATAAATGGTAGATTAAAAAGAAAAAGAATTGGAAAAGATAAAGGGTCACTTTTTGATCGATTTTTCCTCTCCGTAGAGGACGGGTTAAAAATGGTTGATGGAGAAAGAGACACTCCTCTGTGATTCTTTTCCCCCCTATCTCTGCGCTTCTACTTCTTGTCTTTTTTTGTGTTTGAAACTTTGAACTCTCTCCCTTCAAACTCATTTTACTTCTTTCCTTTTAAGTTCATCTTATCTTTTAGATTTTAATTTTATATATTCTTATATTATCAGGTCACTTAAATGGCAACTCCACGCAATACAATAAGAGATATTAGTAATTTGCAATCATAGCCAGAGTAACTTCAACTCAAAATTAGCCAGTATATGTGTTAAAAACATTCACTAAATAAGTATAAATAAGAAATTTTTAATTCAATAAATCGAATTTATGTGGTAGAATTTCGAATTCAAATTCATAATATTCAAATCTTAAATCTGCCTCTACCAAGAAAACAAGACAGGTAAACAAACTAGAGTATAAGATACTAAAATTCACTGATAGTGTTAAAATTACTTACATTAGCAGTCTATATAAGTTAATTTTTCTTTTATTTCTACCACTATCCCCACCCTACCCCATGTAGGAACACATTTTATTTATTTTTGTGACCATGTTGAAATAGATTAGGGGATGGTTAGGGGTTTTAGGTCAAACTTACATAGTATATAGGTATAAATAAAACAATAGATTGAAAATATATGTATAAAACATTAAAGTAAAAGTGAGTCATTGACTTAAGAAGGAGAGAGATCAGTGAGAACCACAAAAAAGGGGTGTTTGTTTGCTAGTAAGCAGAATATGTGGTTAACATGTGCAGAAACCTAAAATAAAAAAACACACACATTACCTTCTAATTCCCCTTTCATACTCCCAAATATTCCTTTCTAATCTTTCAACAACTTTGTCTGGCATCTTGGGTTTTAATATGTCTTCCTTCACATGAGATAGACCACTAAATATGAATCATATCCACTGAAATGTATTTATGTTTTCAAAACCCTAGGCTAAATCAAAGGGTTAATATTCATTTCTTTATTCTTGTTTTCCTTTTTTTTTTTCCTTCTAAGGTATATTTGGTAGCAATGTAACTTACATACACTGACACTATAAAAAGTTTATTACACTATCAGTATAGTTTAACCTATTATATATAGCGGGTTAGTTATCTTTTTTATAGGGTAACTACAATCGTTTATCGTAGATATTTACTGGTAATTATCTTATAAGTAACTTAATTCAGTAAATATCATTATGTCATCGACTGCATAGAGCTTAAACTCTTTATTTATATATACCGATAGCATAAAATGCAGTAAAGTTGCTTCCAAGTGATCAGGAGGTCACGGGTTCGAGCCGTGGAAACAGCCTCTTGCAGAAATGCAGGGTAAGGCTGCGTACGATAGACCCTTGTGGTCCGGCCCTTCCCCGAACCCCGCACATAGCGGGAGCTTAGTGCATCTGGCTGCCCTTTTTTGATAGCATAAAATTTTTACACTGTCAGGATATTTTGACATGATATAGTAAGTTATGTTCCTTAATTTACTAATCTCATATTTTATGGACGGTTATGCCTACATCAGGGTGGGCTACCTACATTACACTCTTAGGGATACGGCCCTTTTCTAAATTTTGCGTGAATACGAAATACTTAGTGCACCGAGCTATCCTACTTTATCTAATTAAGTTATCTTATAATATGCGATCTAATGGTGTAAATAATTTATACTATAAATATATTATTATTAAACCACTCTTGGGACTTAACTTCTCTGGCACTAAGTCTAGAAGGTGCAAGCATCTCTAGGTCATTTTTATATTTTATGGGTCTTTTTTACTCTTTAGCTAGTGTGACACTTTCTCCAATGTTTTACACTATAAATGACATTAGTCTATAGGTGGTGTTTGGCTGGAGCATTTAATGCTAATATTTTGGTTCTATGCTTGTAATATAATTTTATAGTTATATCTTACCTTTCCTATTTTCGAAAACAGCTTTGCGCTGAAATATATTCCATCGGAAGTGTTGAAGACAAACTCTTATGAATTTCAAGCTTTGGTTAATGTATTGCCTACATAACCAGTATGGAATGATGTACAATTGAAGTATCTGTCGGAATTTCACTATTATCCATTATCATTAAATAATTTATTTTCGAGTTTTATCATAACAAATAATTATAAGATGAAGTGAACATTGAAAGTATAGTAATAATTAATTTAATATGCTTCTATGCCTTACTTTAGTGAGATTTATAACCTCAATGCATGACCATGACGTAGGGCTTAGATGCTTCTCAGAGTAATTTTAGTCAAAATGCTAAGTAATATATTGGTCTCTAACTTTTTAATAATCGAAAAATTAGCGATAATTGTGTCTTATTTATGCATTTAGCTCAAATTCGATCACACGTTTGTAAGTTGCCTGTCCATATATATTATTTGAATTTTAAGATTTTTGCACTCTTCAAGAAAGATATTCAACCGTCTTAATCATAAGAATATTTATTTATAATAAATTAATAATATTGTGAACTGTGACAAATGAACTTTTAATGACGCTATTAGATTATCAAATTGACGATGTTAAGCTTTACCTATGAAGTTTATTCTATACATGTCAATCTCAATGTGAAATTAAATTGCAGAAAACCGGAAAGGAACTACTCGAAAATTCGAAAGTCGTTATCATACTACTTTTGGACATTTCCTCTGTATTATACATGAATAAAAGGACAAAAAAAATAAGAAAAGACTCGATAAGAGTTGTTCAATATTGAGAGGAAAGAATTTGCCACATGCATACATTTAAATGGGGTTCACTTTGAAAATAATGTAATATAGAAGGATATGGAATACCTTAGGTACTATATCGATTTTTTTTGTTTTTGTTTTAAATATAGTGGTACAATTCTATATACTCATTGCTTATTAGATTTAGAACCATGAGATTGAGATGTTCCACCGGAGACAGAATCAGAATTTTCGCAAAAAGGATTTAAAATATAAAGAATTAAGCGTATGAAGAAGTGAAGGGAGAAATTCTACATTTTATTGTATATACAAAAAATAAATTATTTAGTCTTGTATTTAGAGTTTAATTTTCCAACGAAGAAGGATCAGATAAGCCCCTTGCACCTTCCTAGAGTCCTAGTTCCGCCCTTGCCCTTGGGTCCCATGTAATAAAACATATTGAAAAAAAAAAGGAAAACAAAAAAAAATGTAATCATAGTTAAGTGTTCTTAATTTATTTTCTTTATCTTTTTATTTGTTTATTTATTTATTATTATCTTTGTTTCCTAATGGACTTTATTTCTTTTTTATTTTCCGATAAGAGTAGGGAATGGTAGAAGCATTTTAACAACAAAGTACGGCTATTTAACAACTAAGAGAATACTATAGCATGAGACTGGATTTTGCTCTGGTATTTATTCTAAATGGGGTCATATATGAGTAAATTTTAATTTTCTCCTCCACTTTATTATATACTTTCATGTTTCTAAATTAAAAGGGAAAAAATGAAAAATAAAAGTAATTTTGTAATCTATTTATGGGTTCAAAACAATGATGGTGTTTTAGGCAGCATTAGGTAAAGCTTAAGATGCTGGCTTATTAAACTTAACCAATGCCTGAAAACTTCTACTAGGAAAAAAACAGTTGCATCATTTTCTTCAAATAATTTTCTCAGTTTTAAAGAAAAATATTTTAATCAATTTCTAATTTTGATAATGTGAGCCTTTTGCCCTTTTATTTTTCTTTTTTCCTTTTAATACCTTCAAAACACTAGGGACCCGTTTGGCTGTTCGACCAAAAAGTCTTAAGCTTTTTTGTTAAACTAATTAAATAAGAAGATTTTAGGTAAATCCTAGCCAAAGATAATTTTTCCCTAGATCTAAGATAGAGGATATGAATAAGCAGACAAAGCAGGCATAAGATTTCACTATAATATTGATTAAATCTCATTATATAAGAAGAAGATGATGAGTTTCATAACATTAGACAACAATGAAGAGTACATAGGTGAAAAGGGTCACCAATCTTAACGAGGTGGAAGCCCATACATTTGATATGATGAGACCAACAGTACATATGGAGGATCTGAGCTTCTTTGCTCCTTTCTCCTTCGTGGAGAGGGAGAGAGATGAAGATCCCTCTTCCTCTCCAAGAACATGTCTGTGTATGGATTTCTTTTTCCTCCCCGTCCCTTCTTCTTCTCTCTTGGTTTATATACTAGGTCTTCTCCTTTATCCAACAGTCATTGACCACAGTACTTAAGTCGTTTGACTATATTACGGGTTGACCCTTTGAAATACCGTAACATCCAATTCGCCGCTCATGTGTTATGAATACATGACCTCGGCCGCGGCCGAGGTGCGCATCGTCATAGCGTTATATTGGTACGACTGTCCAAGTAACTTTTTGCCGTCCCTTTCCACGCCGATTCTCATCTTGGTCAGGTTTTGACCCATACAGTTAGTCCCTCCACCTGCTGGGGTCGTCTCTTGGCGAGCTCGATGGGCGGACTCGGTCGATTTGAAAATTGTAAGAAATCTAAACACCTTATGCGAGAGACGAGCATCTTATGGCGAGGTAGCGACGTGACGTGTTGAGA